AAAATGTCAACTAACTGCTCTGCCTTAGCACCTGCTGATCTAGTCAGGGTTATCTACAGTTAAATATTCTCCTAGAACACGATGGGACATGTAGTTAAAACTAAATAGCCATACCCTGAATAACTTTCCCTGTAGCTGACTTTGACATTTGAAGGACTGAGCAGTTTCACACCTTTTAAGAGTACCTAGCTGGCATTTTTGAAGTTTCTACACTGACATTTTGTGTGAAGGAAGGAAACTAGTGAGTCTAAGAAGCTTTGAAGTGCAGGAGGGAGAAAGGCTCCAACAGGCAAAACAGATAGACACAAGCTAATTTCGGTGCTTTCACTGCTATTGTCAAGGAGAAGTCATTGTCAAAAAAATAAATGGATTTTGTTTCAACTTGCTACATTAAAACAGGTTCAGGAGAAGAGGCAATGACATAGCTAAGTGCCTTAAAAACGCCTCATTTCTGGTATTTCAGACTTTACAGAATTACACTGTATATGTGCAGAGAGCTCCAAGCCAGCAATTGATGATAGCATGGGATCTAATCGATCTTTCATTAGATCAATAGGAAAGGATGCCCATTGCACACAGCAATTTGTTCCTAGCATGAAGCACATATTCAGCTGGTTGTTTGGGTTTTTTTAGCACAGAAGATGTAGGGCCAGCTCTACTTTTAAAGCAAGACATTAGTTTAACTCCTGGTTCAAGCTGCTCCTAACTTTTGATCTAGCTTAGTAAATTTTGTCCAGGTTCCAAAAAGTGACAGCACCTGAGCTTAACAAAACCTCTTTCCCACTAAGCTTTCAACCTCATCATGCTCTTAGCCAAGTCCATTTTAGCAGTTTGAGCCAAATTAAATGGAGGAAAACGTCAATGTAATAAGCTAAGAGTATGGTTACTGGAAGTACTGGTTAACTGGAAAGAATCTTTTTATACATGCTTTGTGCAAGAGTCATCAAAATAATTGCAGTACTTTGGCAAAAGCAAAACAAGGAGCAGAGAGTATTACTAGAATACACTGGCTGTTTTACAGCTCTGCGGTGACAGCAGCAATCATCTTTCCCCGCTGAGTTATTACCTTCAGAAGACTACTTAGCAATAATCAGAGTACAGCTGTAGAAGGGATACTTTAGTGATAAACAACACAAGGTTTACAAGCAAAGAGAAAGGATTTCATTAACCTAACCGACATAGTTGGAGCTCAGAGAGCAAAAAAAACAAACCACCCCAAAAGTCATCAGCAAGCTTTCAGGCTCTTACACGCTAAACACCTGAGGCAGAGTTTCCGGACCTGAAAGAAAGTTTGTGTCTCTCCTGTGCCTCCCACCCAAACCCATATTGCTTTGCTGTGGTGATAGCGTGGATTTAGTTACATCAAAGTGATCTCAGATCTCCTACTTTGACTATGATTCAACATAGCTAGCAGGAAGCTCATCCAAATAGAGAGATTTTTATCTGGTTTTGCATTTGGATTTTAAGTATTATCTAGAAGCCACATTTCTACAGCTGGCAATACAACTGAAGGGGGTTGCTCCCGTGAAACAGTTTTTGCAAATATTGAGTAAAACTGAAGTATTTGAGAATCATCTTGATGAACCTTCAATAACCCTGGCAGATCTGCTCCTCCCAGCTCCACTGTGCCCATTCCTGGACCTGAAGATCTCAGCCACTGCCCGACCATGGTGCTAGGGTGAGAAGAAGGGAGAGAGGTTTCTGCACTGCCCTCACCATACCTGGGCTTCCACTCACCTACCTCCCGCTCTTGCTTGGGTGAGGGAAAAACCCTCTAAAACTGAAAGTTTCTTCTTTTCTTTTAAACGAAAAAAATAAATCAACATTTCCCTTCCAGGGGAAATTCTGAATATCTGAAGTTTCAACTCAGAACTAAGTTTATTGAATACTTTCCGGTGAATGGAAATACCCAATCTGTGAATAGTTCTACCTAGTAAGCACTGAAACACCATGGCTTACAATTCGGTATGTTCATCTATTGACTCCTTTACAGCTATCCAACTATGTCATGGCATTCCTTAATTGAAATAAATTCAAATTCACAAAAAAAGAAATAAAGTGTTTAATTTTTCTAGCATGCCAAATACAGAAAACTTAAATAACGTATTAAAATAGGAAAAGGTCACTTATGGGGAGTAATTAAAATCATTATTGCCACAAAAACTGTAGAATTGGAAAAGTCCAAATAGACTTGCTTTTTAACTTCACAGTTTATTCCTTAATTTTGAATGCTCTGCTCACTGAACTGAAGGGAACAAAGTATGCTTTCTCTGCATCTTCCAAACACATTAGCAATGGCTTCTTTATTTGGCACTTGAACACATTTGGGTCTAAGCAACTAGGCAATGGCTTTCATCAGTTTAGCAACCTGGCATTTTCAATGACTTCAGCAGCTAACAGAGACATAAAATATTGGAGCTACATTTGGTAAGGCTACAGCAACATCAGTCAGATTCCAGTCTGAGAATTTATTAAGTCTCTACAGTGTTACGAAAAAAACATGCCAATGTAAGAAAAGAGCATGGCATTGAGTACACATGGGGTGAAGCACAAGTCTTGTGCACAGCTCCATCTCAGTTTCATTACCCCAGCCAAAAAAAAAATACAGTTGTACCATTTCCCACTGATTGCGTGGGCTGCATTCACTTTTGAAAGGGAAGAGGGCAAAGCAACAGTTTTTCTTCTTCGGGTTCTGCATGCTTCAAACATAGTTTCTCATTAAACCGTTGCCATCTCTTCTGTCCCACTTTATCTTCTGTACCCAAGAACGAAATGTCATGCAATTATATTGAAAAAACATTCAAATATATTTATTCATTCTTTAAACAAACTTACAGATCAAGTAATTGCAATGAAGAACAAACAAATGATAGCAAAGCTTGGAAAATTTCAAGCTAAAAAAACCCTAACCGTAAAGAAGACACGTTAAAGATGAAAATATACTCAGACACTTACTTTACATGCCAAAATACAGGCTCAAAAAATCCATCCATTAGGAAGTGTGTCAATTACCATTATTCGGGAAACAAAGAATTACTCAAAACATTTCTATACAATGATCTAAACCATCCTCTGCATTTAAGTGTTAGTTCTGGCCTCACACCTTCCATCTGTTTTTTCCCCACTCCTTTGGCTTTATGATTTTTTTTTTTGTTTTTCAAACAAATAAGCTTTTGTTTTATCATAAACACCAAAATAAAAGTAAAAAGAATTTAGGGTAAAATACTGAGGATCATCTTACTAGATTGCTATACTGAAAGCCACAAAACTTTGTATTACACTGTTACGCTTACTTATCTTGAAGTCATACATTTCTGTTTGTCTAGTGGTCTCTGATGAGCAACATTCTAGATGAGGTAGATTTGAGAAATATTTATATCACTATAATGATATGAATGTTGTAGAGGAGAGGGAGTGAAGTTGGCACAGGAATTTAATTACCCTTTCCCCCACGCTATTCCTTTACCTCTGGAATATCAAATAGTGCTGCTAGCTGACTTTCTATAACCTGAGTTTTGTTTTATCTCATTGAAATCCCTGAGGCTTTGTTCTCGTTTTGTCTCATTAACCAGTTTTTATGTTGTCTTTTTTTTTTCAGCCTGATTGTAAGTAAAAGATTTAAGCTAATACGGGGTCTGCTAGTTCTGCTACATTTCTCCTCCCCTTTCTACCACCACTAACAAGAGGTAGATAAGAGATGTGTAGGAAACTGTACATTTGAGAGGCTCAGTGGGGACTGGGGAAAGAATTGGATTTATTCAGAGAGGGAGGGAATACATAAGAGGGTAAATGATGTAAATTTGTAGCTAAAAAGCAAGCTCTGTTAGTTCTACTTCTCGCAGAACAGTATGTTCTAAACATGTAGCATTTCATTTCAGGTATTTTATTGAATTGCATTTGAGGACAGGGCTGAACTTTAAAAGGTTAGTGATCAGAGTTTGTTCCTAGCAAACTTCTGAGGAGATCTCTTCCCAGTCTGCTAAGACTGTCTGTATCAACGACTAATGTGTCTGCACTTAGCCGGGAGGAGCAAGAAATTCCTGAACACTAACCATGACCAGCTTGCAATGGATCCCTTTCTCCCCATTACATTACCTTCTGCCTCCAGCACAGTCAAGGTACTGCTGTTAACACCCTTGCAGCACAGGGTAGAAATTAATGCTCAGATTTCAGAGCACAGAAAGGTCACAGTTGTGCCAGAAAATGTCTGTTGAGCTTTGCTGGGGTAAAGCAACCTCAAAACAAAAACCATCAGAAAATGAACAAATCCATTCATGATTTACAAAAAAAAAAAAAAGTCATAAAGCTGCTGCAGTAAAATATAGAAGAAAATTTTTTTAAAAAGTCAAATCAGCACCTTGTTTCAAATTGCTAAGCTCCTACAGGGGAAGCTCAAATCACAGCCTCATCACCACAGAAAGAATAAAGCTTATCCCTTAGAAAGCAGGCCAAGGTTGTCATCCCCTCTTCCCCCAAATCCATCAACTCAGCAGTAAGGATGGGTCTTGAAGTCTTTGAATTCATTCGGTTTCAGTGGTTTAGCACTTGCTAATCAATCTGACCACAGCTCCTTAGAGTCATGCATCCACCCTGGTAATTTTGCTGGACAGACTCAGGATGACTCAGCTTCCAAAAATCAGGTGTTTTCAGGCCAATATGGCCAAAGTAGAATCACAGTCTGGTGAGACTCAGTACAGTTATCTGCCACTGCACAACACAGGTAAAAAATTCTATTTATCATTTTAAACTAAGTATAATTAACTCAACAAGTCCATGAAGGCAAGGCATCTGAGGACAGACACTTGAAAGGATAAAAAACTAAAGACTTTTCTATGAATAGTCTGAATACCAGCTGGAAAGCAGAGAGGCTTTTCACGCACATTTTTAAAGAAAAAATAACCCTCTTACGGGGTTTGACCAGGCCACAGCTGACACACATCAACCAGAAGCATAAGAAGGTCAGTCCATAAATGCCCTCTGGAAAGCGCCCTGCCCTGGAGCACACGGAACAGGCCATCCACAAACGGTCCATGCCCTGGCAGCCTACCTGGCAGCCGTTCCACGTAGTAGCACTAATGAACCATCTACTGTAAACGAGCCTCATCTCACCTGCTGCAAAAATCGAGCCAAATACTTCAGAGAAGTCACAGTCCTTGCTCCAAAACACTCATTTACAGTCTAATGTGAGGCACAAACACAAGTGCAAATGACAAGTAATAGGACAGAGCTGGCTGGAGCCAGAACGAGAGATGCTGCAATGCAGTCAGATGAAAATTATGCACACGCTCATCTCGAATGATCCAAGATGAGTATTTCTAGCAGAGATGGAGGAATGGCCACTGTTAGTGATGTATCTTCTGAGCAACAGAGAAGTAAGGCTCAGAAAGCACTCGGTGAGGTGAAAGTCGGTGAACGTCTTGCAGGCCTCTTCACATCTACATTGTCACCTGAGGTATGGGAGCAGTAATGAAAGTTTCCTCATCTTTCACTGGTAAAGCATAGTTTATCAGTTTTCTTTTTCAGAATTAGCGCTCTCCGGAGTTTCTGTTAAAATTAAAGAATTAATTTCTTCTTCCTTAATTAACCTGTCGTAAGCATGCACAGAATCATCCCTTGCACAGCTCTGAAAGAGAAGAACAACATTTTTTAACAGCGCTTCTTCATGGCGAGCATTCTTTTTTCAGCCCAGTAAGACACACCCGTTTCACAACGTATAGCCTGTATTATGGAGAAAAGGCCAAGGTAGCTGGGCAACAAACCGTGCTTATTAGGGACATGGCTTGGGCCTGGTTGACAGAAGAGTCTCCCTCTGGAGACAAGGAAGAACTGAAGGTTGGACCCCATCTTAAGAGTGCTTCCAACTACAGCTAATGGGTGAAACTCAGGCAGGAGGATGGAGAAGTGAAGATACACACGCTTAGCAGAGTTTTCACTGAGACCCTGAGCACATGGAGATCAAGATAATACTTAGAGGCAAGAACGTAGCATTACTCGGGGCAGTAACAAAGCACTTGTCAAAGCATGACAAAGTGTAACAGCTACCATATTTATGATCCTCATGTCCGAGAGTCCCATCTTGGTCCCATAATGACCAATACATGCCGAAATATTTATCCAAAGGGTAGTAAACTAGAAGGCCAGATCCATGCTTTCCACATAGTTCTGGTTTACTATCAGGTGAACTTGGAATACCCCTGTGGAAAAAGGGAACACTGGATTTTGGACTCTGACTCCATTTGCAATTGGGAGGCCACAAAAGCAGACTAATTTTCAAAAAGTCAGCGATTCCTGCAACCCCTGTTCAACGGAGAACATCCAATGCACATGCAGCGCCAGACTTCCAGGTAGCCATTATCCTCTACATATGTTTCACAGATGGCATCAATTTTGAAATGCCACAGTGAGTCTGAAGGTCCCTTCCATACAAGGACTGCGTTCAGAGAACAACATACATTGCCTCATGTCCAGGTTCGAATTAGGGCTTGTCAGTGTACTTCCCTTAGGATTTTTATAAAGAGCTACTGAGTTAGATTTGTTTAGAAATAAGAGTTTCCATAATCAGTATTATGTTTATTTTTCCTGAAATAAGGGCCCATAGCAAATTTTTCATCAACCCAAGCTTGAAGCAGCTATAATTAGTTTTGTTCTTTTGCCAATGAGAAGCTAAGTGTCCTGATTTACTTCATAGCTAACTGACTGTGATAAATGTGAAAGTGCTAAAAATATAAGTTTCTGGAAGTCAAATATGAATAGCTTTATTCAGCATCATAAATATGAGCAACTAGCAGAGAAAGATCTGAATCTTCAGGAGAAGTAGTTTATAATGGAGTTGCAATTAAAAAACCAAAAAACCCCCAAAAAAACCTCCAAACCCCCCAAAAAACCCAAAACACATTTAAGGGACTAACAGTCTGTGAAATAACAGAATAATGCAATTCTACTGATGTATCTAGAAAAGTATATGCAATTTGAGGGAAAAAAATCCCTCTCAGCTTTGGGTAACTGTTTCTGAACAATTCTTACTATTGTAAATACTTAATCTTCATATGATATACTTACTTATGTACAGTTGGTTTTAAGACAGACATAAGTATTAGGAAAAAGAAAATTGGAAGCCTACAGATTCTGGTTCAATAGATTAGTTCGCCCAACAGCTTTTTACTAACCTGGGAATCCTCATTCTGCTCTCCAAACATGCGCTTAAGAATTTCTCTAGGGTCTGGAATTGGTGGAAGAATTAGTATCTTCAGCCTTCAGAAAGTTAAAAAGAAAAGCTTTAGATGAAAGACGTATTAATTTAAAAGTCACCACTTCAATGTCCTCTTTGGGTGCAGTCAAGAAAATTTGTGGAATCAGCTTTGGCATCACTGACCACCTTTCATTCTCTGCAACTGTAGCCCAATTCTCCTTTTTACTCCCCAAACCAAAAGGAAGTGGGAATATTCACACAGTCAGATTCTAAGTAATTTTCACTGTTGACAAAGACGGCAGCAGAAGTAGACTTTTTTAAAAAAAATCTGGTAAAATATACTACATAAGCTCAATTTTGAATTTGGACTTCATTGCTTGAAGAGAGGGGATGCAATAGCTGTGCAACAAGAATCTAGCTGTAAGCATACATAAGCAACGTTACCCAAGTGCAACCAGAGCATGTGTATGGTCTATAAACCTAATTCTAATGACAGAGGCACAACGGTGCTGCCATTTTTGTTATGCAATGCATGTCATGGATAAAACAGCTGCTCCTGAAACATGCCACATCACGGACAGTTACCTGGAAGAAAGATGAATCGTAACGCAAGTCACAGACTGATCAGAATTAGTGGATTGTAAAGAAAGGGAGATGATAGTTAATTACCTTTTTAGGTAAACTAGTAGAATTATCGTAGATACTGCTACTGTTAATGGAATGATGATTATTAAAACAAAATGGAACATAGAGTCCGTCTTCTCACCTGGAAAACAAAAATTGTAGAAACTTAGGGATGTTTCGGGAGGCTTTTTAGGAATAATGACAATTAATTCTCTAATTAATTCACAAACTGTATGTTTTTCAAATATACTAGCACTTTTGTAGGCAAGGACTCATTTTTCAAAGCATGATATTATAATGTAGATACATTTGGCAAGAAAATGAAACCCAGCAAGACTCAGGGCTGAAAAACTGACAGCACTGGAACGGGGTTATTGCACAGCTACACGGATGGCAAACCCCATCTACATGCACAGCAGTACAGGCAGTAATTGATGGCACTGCTGAAGGACTAGAACTCTCTTGCCCTCTTTTCACCTAAAATTAAATAGATACATAGGAAGATGATCTTCAACTCCCATTTACTTAGCAGACAAAAGGTATTAGATGCCTTACAGACGAAGAATAAAGTGCAACAAATTGCAGGAACAACAGTTCTCACCAATACTCTTTTCTTCACTCCAGTCACTACAGAGCTTGCTGCTGTAACACTCGGGCTTTGGTTTTGCTCTCACTTTGAAGATGTACCTGCTATTAGGATCAATGCTAGGTATTGACGTATAATTATTTTCAACCTAAGGTGAAAAGAAAAGGTAATTTGCCTTGTTCAATTACCAATGTATTCTCAGCCATTTACAAGCCCATTTTCATTGTGCAGTTAATGTATTCCCAAAGTTTTGATGGAAGATCTTTTTGTGAATACTGAACTTCATAAAAAAGGACATAGTAGCATTCAGCCAGCACAGGCTGCCCAAGTAGAGATTCCAAAGCTAAGATTTAAAACTTATTCACTGCTACATCTATCATACAGCATTTGACATCAATGATTATACTAAGACTCAGTGTCTGGAACAGTGCCCTTTTTTTTTTTTGAGAAACATCTGTGATTTACGCTGCCTTCCCCTCTCTGTCAGGGCAGCAATGCTGATCCAACTTTGACTGTGCAGAAGTCTTCTGTGATGCCTCTACAGAGACATGTAAACACACTAGCTGGGATCAAACTTCACTTACTTTTGATCCAAAATGCCAGTTTCCTGAGGAATGTTGGTATTATTCGACTTTGCTAAATTTGGGGTAGGACAAAACTAAATATGCTCTGCAGGAGAAGACTGCCACCTTACTTTTAAATTTATCTTGTTGTTTATCATTCTGATCAAACAGTACAGTCAGTTTGGCTATGCAGATACAGGCATGAGTACATCCAGACGCTGAAGTCAATGCTTTTTATACGTACATTAAAATCAGTGTATCTAAGAGTGCACATCTTTTTCTTCACCCCCACCCTCAGTCTTTTTACCCCCTTGCTTTTCTGTGTAACATTCTGTGTTCTTGTGTGCACACACAATTAATTTCGCTTTATGGTAATCAAGTCACATCATTCAAGCACAAGGCAGTCATCCGACCGAGCACATACCAACAACAGGAAAACCCAACACCAGCAGAGATACCCCCTATCACTGAAAAGCAAATAGGTACATGCACCTCAGTGTATTTCCTGATAAGTGTTGTTTAGTTTAGTGTATACTTTATCGGACTGTTCTTACACATTACTGCTTTGCCATAAGAAATGATGGCAAGGATTCAGAAGACTTGCATGAATTGCATTGTATAGATATTACTACCAGGAACCTACTGTATGGGAGAAAAACCTTATGTCCACACAACACTGCCAGCTAGTGCACCAGACCCATTCACATGCAGCATATATAATTTTTCATTTTTAAACAGCAAATATTTGAGTTACTGTGAATATCAACACAAATTATAAAAGATACATAGGAAAAAAAACCAGTTAACTGTAAGTAATGAAAAATTACTTTAATTATCTGAGTGGCGTCCAAATCACCACTGTGATATTCAACTTCATAAAATAAACAATTTTCTGGAAAGGTATCTGATTCACTCCATTCTACATATATTTCATCATTAATCTTCGACAGTGTAACTCGTCTTGGTGTAGCAGGCTTTACTGAAATGCAAAATGGAAGAATTAGTTAAAAAGTACATTTCACTGCTTCCAAAAATTGTTCGAGTCCTGTATTGCATAATATTACACTTACACCAGTTTAGGAACAGAAAGAGGAAAAAGTTAGCACCAAAAAGTCAAGAAAGAATAAAAACAACGAAAGAATAAGAGTAAAAATGAGTGGAAAGTGATGCCCCCGCCACGCCAAACCCAAACCCTGTCTATATAATTCCCAAATCAAAGATCAATAGAAGAAGGGAGCATGTAATCACGTTTTCTCATCCATAGCTTATGAGGTGCAAGCTTCTCAAACACAACAATATACTAGCAAACTTCTTTTTTTAATTATTTTTTATAATGTGGTTGTCCTGGTTTAGGCAGGGATAGAGTTAATTTCCTTCCCAGTAGCTGGTACAGCGCTGCGTTTTGGATTTAGGAGGAGAACAATGTTGATAACACACGGATGTTTTAGTTGTTGCTCAGTAGTGCTTACACTAGTCAAGGACTTTCCAGCTTCCCATGCTCTACCGACTGAGCAGGCTGGAGGGGCACAAGAAGCCGGGAGGGGGCACAGCCAGGACAGCTGCCCCAAACTGGCCAAAGGGATATTCCATACCATGGGACGTCGTGCTCAGTACAGAAACTGGGGAAAGCTGGCCGGGGGGGCCGCTGCTCGGGGACTGGCTGGGCATCGGTCAGCGGGTGGTGAGCAACTGCACTGTGCATCACTTGCTTTTGTGTAGTATTATTATTACATTATTATTATTATTATTTCTATTATTAAACTGTTTTTATCCCAACCCATGAGTTTTCTCACTTCGACTCTTCCAATTCTCTCCCCCATCCCACTGGGGGGGGGGGGGAATGAGCGAGTGGCTGTGTGGTGCTCAGTTGCCAACTGAGGTTAAACCACGGCACTGGTGTTAAACTTACCAAGGGTGGTAGGATTTTCACTTGCACACACAGGCCTAATTTCTTCAGAATCATCTCTAATCAAAATACGTATAGTTGGGTAAGGATTGGTGACTTTTGGGAAGCTAAGATTGAAAATGCATACAAAGATTCCTTGGTGCATAGAATAGTTGTTGCACTTCTTATGGTTTTTCAAACCATCAAACCTATAGGAATAAAAATATTTTTTTAAATGTCAAAAAAATAGGACAGCAAGGGGCAAGCTTGTTCTTAAACCTGTTACAAATTCTAAAGACTGATCTTGCATTAAAGTTGTACTATAGCATATATAAACGTAAAGCTAAGCAAAGAAGCGTCTCATTTATCTCAAGCTTTAGAAAGAATATTATTTTTGTAAAGAGTGTCAAGTAGCAGAAAGAGAGGCAGGTTTGCTTTATGTCCAAGCACCAAATGTAACAGCTGCTTTCAGCTTTGGTTTACATTTTCCACATGGGAAAACAATTTCAAGGGAAAAAAAAAAATAGAAAGCAAACTAATTTGGATCACTTCCCATCAACAGAATTTCACTTCTCTGACAGAATGAGCGGATCAATCTCCTTCAGCAATGCCTCAAGTGTCGCAGCTCTTGCTTGAGATGATCACGTTTCACCTATTGCCTGCATTTGCTTTTCAAAATGTCAGTATTCACTTCCAATAACAGAGCAGCTATGACAGCCTTCTTCCCTGCTTCTCTTTGTTCCCCAAGTCCCAAGGAAAATATGCCAGTAGCTTTTCCTCCCGAGGAAATGGATTATTTATTTATTTAAAAGTGATATAGAGTAAATCAGAGCTTCATTTAGGAGTGCAATAGGAGTGACGTTCCCCTACATCACATCTCAATATATAGGGGCTGGGGAAGCCAAAACCATCTGTCCTGTTTTCAGGACAGACCCCATTTTATCCACTCTTCTCACCTCCCCGCCCTGGGGCTGATGAAGACGGGAGGCATTCAGAGCAGACAGCACCGTGCCGATGCACCAACCTGCTCTCGTAGGCGCCATTTCAGCAAGTATTACTGTGCACTGACTGGACTCATTTGTTCTAAGCTAATGTCATATTCATGTTCACTTTGGATGAAAAGATAAGGTTTTAGAGGAAAATATCAATGAAGGAGAACATAAGTTGGAACTAAGCCATAATTTTTCAGGTCATTGTTCAGTCATTTCTGGGAAAAAACCCTGAAATATAGACGAAAAAATCCCAAACACACAACCAAAAACAAACCCTCACCTGCGTTATTGAAAATGTATCTTTCACTCCAAAAGTCAAGTGTTTCCTTAGTTTTCAGCTTTAAAACTAGAAAAAAAGTCTTTTTCTTTCTAAGCAGCATGAATCAAAACACTTTGCTGTCACTGCAGCTATATCTTTCATTAAAATTAAAGTTGAAAATATATAGCTCTAATTAAAGCATTATTCCAGTAAGTATCCATATACCCAGAAATTCAGATCTTCAGTGCCTCATTGGTACTGTTCTTTGAGTAGCAGTTTAGAGAGAGAACAGTCCTCCCTGCATTTAACTAAAGCAGCAAGTTTTCTGCTGTTTGCTGTCCAAATGCATTAAATTGAACAGTTAGCCCGCAAGACTGCCACTGGAGAGGAAGAGGAAAAAGTTTAGTTAGTTAGTTCAGATAAGACAGAAAGCTGATTTGAAAATACAACAAGGGGCTCTCAGAAAGAAAACATCAGTATTTCTGCAGAAGCTACTGCAATCTGGCATTTCACAAGCCCCATCAACATGCAGAAGTATGTGTAGATTAGTGTGCGCAGATCTCGCTGCCAAGTTTTTGCTCACACCACAACTCTGTTCCTTTGGAACAAGAGTCTATTTATAGCAGTCAGCTGGCAAGCGTGGATGATGATGAAAAGATGTTCTCCATAACTTTCAAGGTGAATTGGTTATTTATGACATAGAAGACACAAACAAAACTACTGCTAAGTGTTATTAATGCTTTCATACCATTTTCCAATAATTTAAGAGCTGACACATACATTAGTGAGTGACTGACTTAAATGGCCCATGTTTGCCAGGCTGCAAAGAAAGCAGTTAATATATTGGTCTAGCTCAGTTCTTAATTCTTCCCTCTTTGAATCCACAATTCGAAAAAATTAGAAAGCAATAGCAGTTATTTTAAAATGGGCTACAGAAGCAGCCAGTGGTTCACATTAATAGTGGTTCACATCAACAAAAAGACTCAGCAACAGCAACCTCTTGACCCTTCAGCAGTGAAGTTTTCTGTTGGACAAGACCCAACGCTAACTTGTACGCAATGCCCTGGGATCTTTCAAAGCAACAGGAAGTGGACAAGTAAAATGTGTAATGTAAAACTAAAGATTAGCGCTGAAGCACTTCAGAGTTAGGAATAAAAAGTTCATACGAACCAGTAGAACAACGTATAATTGGTATCACTGCTTGCATTCTCCCCAGGACGCCACCTACAAACCATGTACTCCAAATTGTGCCAAACACAGCTCAAGTCAACAGCAGCAGTACCTGGAATACCTGCAAGGCAAGTTGGAAAGGTCTCCTAATATTTATTTTGCCAGCCAAGTCTTCTCCCCAATTTCCAGAAATAAAACATCCCTTTTTACATAACTGAAACTGTCTGGAAGGCAAAGATGGGTTACCTCGCGGCCTGCGCTGCCTGTCATGGCATAGCCAGTGATGAATTCCAGTTGTTTATTGCTTGCAATAGCTGAAATCTCAGCAGGGCAACTTCTAAACACAGGCTAATCATAACAGGGAATCGCAGTTTCCAGCACGTCTGAATTACTGCATAGAGTTACCTGATGCTAAGGACAATGTGCTGAGTCAGGAAAAGATTTTGTTCTATTAAACTAGATACTTTAAAAAGGAGTTAAAGTAACTGGCAATTATAGGGATAGCACTTAGCTTTGTTATAATTATTACAGCCATCAACGTTAAAAATAGGCAGCATTTAATGGTAGTATCTTCTCCAGATACAATATTAGTTTCTCAGTATTCTGAATATGGAAATACCTGCAGATCTTAAATACGGACAAAAGCAACACTGGGGTAAGTTGAATTTTTAATTGAGACCCATATACCTCTAGACATTCAACTTCTTCAACATATTGAAAACCCAAATTACAGAACATAAATACAAATGAGTACATTGCAATTGTGAACAGAGAGACATTAATGTATCTCCCAGGCAGAGCAATTACAGAATAAAGTCTTTCATATTCAGTCTTGCGTTTTTGTATGGTACAAGTTCTTTATACTGTATTATCATTTACAGCACATTAGATATTTTTTCCTTTTAACAAGTTGCAATGTCTCCAAGAACTAAAAAAAAAAAAGCAAGCTAATTTTATCAACGGTCCAGACCTTTATTGATAGCAAACCCCAAACTACCTTCTACTTCCAAGCTTGCATTCTCCCTGAAGTAGTGACTGTCTAAGAGTACAGAAAAATGAAACTGGTTTTCTTATTCCAAGAAGTATTTAAAAATATTTTATCTGCAAGCAGACTTTTAAAAGCCTCATGTTTAGTACATGCTGTCCTAATGATCTGCCTCCCTGATCTTCCAGAATACCGTTTTGACAAACATGCAGACAAGCCTGATAAGGTCTCAGATTCTCCCATCCGCACGTCGTTTTCATCCACATCAAGTCACGCTTCTGGGTTAGACAGACTTTTACTACTCAAGGCAAGGCAAGAAGCTTTATTTCCTTGCTGTACCTCCTAACTTCCAGCATTCAGCAGAATACATTATTCCTTAAAGCCTGCTTCCTAAAAATGTTGCTATGGACCCCTTATTTCTAGATGTCAAGAAACAAAAAATATTTTTTCTCTATTCATTTTACTATGCACAGCTTTCTAGACCCCAGTCATCTCTTTTGAGATAACCCTACTATAATTATTTAATTAAGTCACTTATTTATTCAACAAGTTGTTAAATTTGCTAGATTCATCCCCCTAACATTTACAAATGTGGGGTTATTTTAGGGACTTATGCTCATACAGAAAAATCATACAAAATAAACTGACTTAGATGTTAGTCATGAAGTCAGCAGGCTTAATACAACGTAAGTTATCTCTTATCCCACAACCACAGCATGGCAGGGACAAGAGGAGTAACACGAATCACATCATCGCCTTGGAAGAGCACTTAAATTTTACAAGCTCACCCATAAGGTTTTAAGCATCAGAAGGCTCCAGCTGTGTTTAAATGTAGCATAATCGTTCTGTTTAAGCTCCATCAATTGAACTAGCCCTTGTCTCTGGTCTCTCACGATTTCTCTACGATACATTTCTACGATATTTTGTTAAAATAGGACAGAAAAAAGGCTGTGTCTCCTCAGACCAAGACAGGCACGTCTGTCTCAGGTCTGGCTGCTGCACGTGTTACCTTTTGGCAGAAGAGAGGTCTCCACCCATCGGCTGGGCTTGCTGGCATTATCGTACTTGCATTCACTTCTCACTTTGAAACGCATTTCCTCATTCAAGAACATATCTGTCACGCGGAAGCGACTCTTACTCCATTCCTGGGTTTAGATGGGGGGGGAAGAAAACCAGAACATTTAGCATACCGTATCACATGGGAATTACTATTAATGTAAGAATACATTACAGCCTCTCAGAAAGACTGCAACTCAAAGCCAAATGAAACGAGGGAACGAGGGTCTGACAACGCGGGAAGCCTCAGCATCACTTAGCTTTTCTTTTTCCTCATCAGGCGCACTCAGAACTCACGAAAGGAAAACTGCTTCTACTCCAGTGACCTCTAGACAGGAGCAAAGGCCACACAGAGATCAAGGAACAAGTATACTGTGTGGGAAAATGAACCTAGAGTAAGCCTTCATGGATAACGCAAAATAAGCATGTTTATACTACAGCTATATAAACAGCAGCTGACAGATCTACCCTTCATCTTTCTGTGTGTGTGCACATGAGCGCATGACAAACAGAAGAAAGAACACTTGAAGATATAACCAAAAAGCAAGGAGAAGAGTTTGCATGGATTTAAGGAGCAAAAGAAAGAAATTATCAAAACAAATCCACAAATGGCTATTAAATACAGTGACACCACATCAGGCCCAAGTAGTCCATGAGCTTCCCTTTTCAGAAGAGAGTATGCGTTTGTGTGAGAAAAAGGCTTACCCTTTTATCATACACTTTCTTGAGCACCTTTTATTGAGCTAGGGGGATGCCTTTTACTTAACTGGACACAGGACACAAAAGAAATATCTTTGTTATGACCAAAGAATGGTGTAACCACTGGTGTATTAAAAAAACAAGAAAATTGGCACTAATGAGAGGGCAAGGAAATCAAACAGCAATGAACAGACTAGGTTGTACCAGCTGTAATGCAAAAAGACGCAGCAAGACGATGCACAGTCTGGTTCATCCTGTTGTGTGAAACTGCTGTCCCACAGCTCCTTCACGGCTGCGGACCTTAACATCTGTTAGACTCTTCCACAAACTCATTCAGCTCATTAACCAAGCAGACTTTGAACTTGTTAATTTGTTAATGAACCCATCAGAAGAGGTAAACAGGTTTCTGCTGAGTTAGCAAGTTCAACTGGCTCATCTAAAGGTCCGATGAAGATCATTAGGGAAAGGCGTGTCAAAAATGAAGTATCGCCCTTCTAGCAGTGTTCAGCCACTAGATCAGCTCAGCTGTTTGTGAAGCCACAGCCTTACTTCAAGTCCAGGATATCCTGGAGCTGTCAGAAAAGTACAGCTGTCACTGTGAAGAGGCCATTGTAAACATCAGGCCATAAAATGGTAATAGGGCTCGACAACAAAGGACTGTTTCAAGAAGCATCGTATCAATTTCAACCGTATCCGAAATAGCAGCACTTGCCAACCCCACAGTCAGTGCATATTCAAGGCTTCAAATTCTGACAGTTTAGAATTACGGACTGATAGCATACTATCTTACTGGCAATAAATTCTAAAAATATTTGTCCTACAGCCTCTTCACTACCATGGCAATGCTGCTCTCAGTCCTGACCAAACAGTTGTTAATCCACACCAAGGATCACATCTGGGCTGCAAACCATCTAACACAGAAATAAAAACAAAACCCCAAAACAAAGAAATTTTACAATTTCTGTTCCGTGTTGTATTCATAACACAACCCCCGTGGATAATTGTAAGCGCGGGCGAACACAGGAATATGTTAATACCTGGCATTACCTCCAGAAGACACTGTACTGTCAAATCTGAACTACGCCAATGTTAATGTGCACACCTCTTTCTTAAATTGAGTTCAAAGTGAAGGAGATCAGCCTTTGCAAATTGCCATTTAAGTCTTAAGGATGTAGACTGCCCCGTATATATTTTATTTTTTCTAGAAAGCTGCATAAGCAAAGACTGAAACAAGTCCTCTCACATTATTATTACGGTACTTCCACGTTATCAGTAGCAGCTCAATTATCAGAGAGCGACAGATAGATTTTTCTGTTCTGAAGATCCCACATGCTGGTATGACTCATTTTTGAGGTTTTGATCCCATGACAAGAATTAAAGGCTATATTAAAACTGTACTTTTATGTATGTATATATGCTTACACACACACAGTTTTATCACAATAAGACATTTACAGGAGCATGGCTGAGTTTAAAGAGGCGATGCACTTACTCTTTTGTTCTGAGGGACCTCATCAATCACGATGTCGCTGGAATACTCCAGATCACAACTACTGCTAACGTTCTCTGGGGGGTTCCACGTCCAGTTCAAGGTGCAGATTTGGATAAATGAGTAGTCCAGGTTGGATGGAGGCGGAAGAACTTTTGCTCCTAAAAGAAGTAAGTTATCACTGTAACAATCCTGTTGGTCCACATTTTACAATTAGTAATACTGACAGATTTTTAACTCTCCAACAGAAAAGAACACAAAAGACTTCTCAACTTCATCAGCTTGTGCTTGCTATCAGAAAAGCTACCGCCCAATAAATTGTTTCTACTATTCCTGTTATCTCAGTCCATTAATCATTTAAATAATTATAAGAAACGCACACACACACACAAAAAATCATTGAAAAGTAATTTTTAAGAAATTGCAGCATGCAACAGTGTAGTGGCTGTGGTAATGAAACTTATGCTCGTTTGTGGAGGGAAGATGAGTCTCATTTTTCAGGTCTTTTCTGCTGCGAGTTTGCATCATGCATGCTGAATCTTTAGTAAAAATAGTATATACATTTTTGTGGAGCAATTAACGCTTCATTCTACCCCCAAATTATCCATCAATGCAGTTTTAGAGAGAAAACTTTAAAAAGACAAGTGATTACATCTTGCAGGCGACAGCTGTACGTTAGAACCACAATTTAGCCCAATCCAAGCAAAACCGAGAATGTTAAAAAACAACAAAGAAACCACAATGCTTTTTCAATTACTCACCTATTAAACTTTTAATGCCATGCTCTGGCACAGTAAGCAAAACCAGTGTGGGACAAATAGTAATTTACTGCTGGCACACTTCAGCAGTACATTTTTTCACCTCCCCAAAAGCAAGATAGAAGCAGAGGAAGAGCCATGACTCGGAGATAATTGCTGGAATAAATGAGTTTGTGCATTGACCCTTCCTTACTCTTGTGCACTGAGTAACAGACTACTCAACATGCAGTCACACAGCTTGAAGGTCGTATTAGAAAACAAAGAAGGGAAATATGACAGAAAATAGAAAACTGCCACGAAAAATTAAAGTATGTGTCAGACTGCAATTCTAGAGAAAATTGTCAATTGGTAATTCCCCAAGAAAATGAAAGTGAATTTGGTTTTTTTTAAAGGGCTACTCTAATGTGTACTATTAGGAGATATTAAATAAGATGCCAAATGAGACTGCTTCTCAAGGGTACCTAAAGGTATCATCACTGAGGCACCACAACCTATTCGTCTGTGGAAAGAAAGTACCCTTGTTATGCAGTAATTTCACAAACACTTCAAACTGATATCAACTTGGGCTGCGGGTCTTGCTCATCCCAGGAAACCACGCTCAACCCACCCCAACATTTGGGGGAGCACATAGGGAAAGGGCAGAATAATTCCACCGAGATCAGTTTTCCCATCCAGGTCACAGTGCAGCCCCATTTCCTTCTGCTAGCACACGGGAGAGGGCAGATGGAAAGGGAAAACAGCTTCCTTCAGCAAAAGTTACGCTCAAAGCATTCATGACACCATTATCTCACATTTCCTGAGAGCCTTAACTGCCAAAGCTTGTCGAAAAGTCATCAGTCTCCTGGAGCTTTCTCAGACCTTTGCATAGTTAAAGGACAGTCAATGGTAGAGATCAGACATTATTACCATCTGCGTGTATATGCTCGCACTGAAAATAATTACTAGGATTTACTGTTTCAGTCTGAATACGCTTAGCTTTTTTGAATTCTTAAAACTTTTGAGATTTTGTTTTGTTTGTTTGTTCCCTTTTATAGCTGTCCTTGGGAGCAGAGAGATTTTTGTTCTTACAAAAGTAGTCTCCTCTGAGAAAACTGAACCTAGATAGAACATCTTTGCCCATGACCTGTTCCACTAACAGAAACTTATGACAGGTTTTAGGAACAGCATCAGGGGCTTAAGTTTGCAAATACCGAGTCCTTTAGATCATGTAAAAAAATTAAATATATTTATTCAAAAAGACTACACAGCTCCAAGCATTCTGTCTTTTCATGATCACACTTCGTATTACCTACAAAAGCCACAAGCCATTTAAAAAAATAGTGTCATCCCTGATTGCCATCCTGAAGTTCTACACATTTCCTTTTAACATTTCCTTAGGTTTGATTAGAAGTAATTGTGCTTAAGCTTGCAGATTTCTAACCTCACAAAGTAAGAACTGGGAATATTCAAGGTTTAGAAATAAATGAATAACTTGTATTAGCATAAAAAGTTTAAATCTAGTGGGTTTTAGATTAGTCTATACAATTCTGAAGCTCGTGCTTTACTGTTATATTCAGTTGAAGATTTGCTTTTATTCGTAGGCTTGGCCAGTCTCATACTTTTGTTGTACAGCATATACATACGGTCTAATACTTTTGTTATTAAAATCTCATCGCTACAGCAATTTAGTTGGTCTTTGAGTTGTTCTGCTACGAAACATAGGCAAGACATTATTTCACTCTTAAAAAACAAAACCACAGTGATGCTTCTAAGAAAATAAAGTGCAGTAGTAAATAGCAGAGATTAGCTGAGGCAATCCTGCATAAAAAACATTTTATTTCTAAAAGCAATACTGTGGAAACATCAACAAATACTTTGCGTCAAGTATCGTAAAATTGATACTTCGTATTTGTATTTTGTCCTCCTGTATTTTCTTAAAGTTGATTTCATAGTTATAAAGCGGATTGTAGCCAGTTGAAAAATAACAATTCTCTAATGTATGCAACTGTATTTTTGCGTAACATCAGCAAAGACAGAACTAATAAGGCTTTGAGCCCCGTTTCTTATGGAGCCCTCTCAGACAGACACACACACACACCTTTCCCGCAACTAAACGTTCGTGCTTCCAAAAGCGGGGAAACTGCAAGTAACGCCAAACGCAGCGGACAACGCACACACGGCACGGGAAACCCTGCGGCCAGAGCTCCCGCGACCGGCAGACCGGCCCCCCC